TTGCCTGCTCTTTCTCTCATTTTCTCTCTCCCATCCTGTTACCTATCTATCTCTATATTTCACTCAATTGCACACTCACTCGGTCACGCACTTCCTCGTGCACTCACTTCCTCTCTTACTCATTTCCTCATGCACGGATTTCCTCTCTTGCTTATTTCCTCATGCGTGCACTTCCTCTTTCACTCATTCAGTTTACCCTCATTGTCGGTACAGGTGCAAGTTGTTGACAAAATCGGCCCACGAAACAGGAGTTGCTAACATGCAAGAGGAGAGGGAGGGAGAGGGAGAAGGGGATGTCGTGAACCACTAGTTCACCGTCGTGACGAAAACACTCTCTCACTTTTCACTCTCCCGCAGGCCTAAGAAAAGAAAATCAGGAAAAATGTCACCCTAGAAAGAAATGCGGATCGTTTTATCTCCCGGGGGTGAGGATGCTCAACACTTACCCCAACGCATCATATTGCGTTTGGGGAGTTATTCCCCCCGCACACGTCTCCTCTCGGCTAAGGCACGCATACCGAACTCTCGCACACTACACGTACACTCCTCCTCTCTCTCTTTCTTACACACACACTCACACCTACTGTCCCTCCTTTCCTCACACTCTTCCCTTACACTACCATCTCACAACACAAACACTAACGTTCCCATACGTAAACTAAATGGGTGGTGGCAGTGAGTACTTTCTCGCCTGCATAGAAAACGGGGGGAGAAGAAAACGCGGCTCCTACCTACCTCCTCTTTTATCATTTTATTGTATTTCTACTTGTTTTAGCAATTATTAAAGGTTTTTATTTTATATTATCATTTATATCCCACACAAGAACAAGAATGAGCAAACAAATAACAATGAACAAAACAACGAGAAGGAGGCAATTTTATCATTTTATCTTTTTAACTTCAGTATTTATTATTTTAGTTTTTACTTTTACACATTTATTTTTGCCATGTTTTTATTATTTTAAGATAAAATTTTTACTCTAATGAGAAAAGGCATTCCCCGCCTGAGTTATTATTGTTCGCGCCACGAACTATCCTCAGACAACGAAGGAGGCGTGACGGGGATTTTGCTGTGGGTTGTCGGAGGGAGCACTTGTTGAGGAACCCCGGAATGGGCCTCCTGTACTAGAACAGCTAAGTGGTCGTGAGAATCTTCCAAGTTAAGGTATCGGGAGAAATTCATGCAAATGTAGATAAACAAAGTGATCTAATAGACCGGTGCCTCAAGTCAATTTTTATTCTAAAGCTCATGCGTTCTTAGTGTTTTCTTAGTGTTTATCTTAACTTTTATTGAAGTTCTTTTAATGTTCGTGTTTTTCACGATTCTAGTTCTTTGAGTGTTTTTACGTTTTTATGTTCTGTTCTTTGTGTTTTAACGTTCTTAAGTTCTTTTTTTGTGTGTTTTAACGTTTTCATGTTCTATTCTTTTAGTGTTTTAATGTTTTTATGTTCTGTTTTTGTGTGGTTTACGTTTTTATGTTCTTTTAGTGTTTTCACGTTTTTGTTCCGTGTTATTTTATTCTTTTAGTGTTTTCATGTTCTTTCACTCATTTGGTGTTTTAATCTCTTTTTAATAAACGAGATTTATGAAAAAGGTTTTATCATATGCCCTCGCAAATGAATACATTGTCAATTGGAAGGACGAGTACTCAAGGGGTGTAAGCCGGGCTGAACGGTAGATAGCCACTAAGGCAGTGAAGTAAATCCTCGGCATCATATTGCGTTTGGGGAGTTATTCCCCCCGCACACGTCTCCTCTCGGCTAAGGTACGCATACCGAACTCTCGCACACTACACGTACACTCCTCCTCTCTCTCTTTCTTACACACACACTCACACCTACTGTCCCTCCTTTCCTCACACTCTTCCCTTACACTACCATCTCACAACACAAACACTAACGTTCCCTTACGTAAACTAAATGGGTGGTGGCAGTGAGTACTTTCTTAATCTTTGCGAGAGATTACTTTGTTACGGGTCACTACAGGGAGAGCTATGAGAGGGGGAGGGGGAAGAGAGAGGGGGAGTGACGTAGGGAGGGAGGGGGAAAGGGAAGAGAGAGAGGGGGAG